CTCACAATGATGACTAAAATCATCTACCACGTAATTCCAATATCTATACAATCTACAGTTGGAATATATAATCTGAATAAAATATTATGTATATATATATGTACACAGAGAATTACTGGCTCTGAGGTCCAGTCAGGACTGAAGTTCTTTGGCCTCACAATCAGTCAGTCATCTTTTGATCATAGTGGTGATAGACTGCCTGACTTAGCGGTGGGTTCAAAGGGTAGAGTTGTCTTACTGAGGTAAGTCAAAGATAGTGTAATCATACATTACTGTCGTTTATGATAATTCTATCATTTTTGTTGATGGTGAACCTTAATGAATTCACTAATGTATAAAAGTTTACATCAGTTTGAAATATAGAACAGGGTAAAGGATATTTATTTTTCAAAGGTCAAATTATATTAATGAAAGTTTATAATTTTCAAAACGTAACTAATGAATGGATTTCCTTTTTCTAGTTATCTTAACACTTGATTGAAAATGCTCTACTGGTTAAAGAAGCAATAAATGTGGTTGCTTAAGCATCTAGAATTATAGTCTGTGTTCAGTCTTGTTGTAACAAATGATTTGCATTCAGAAATTGAAATGCATGCATTACCCCAAAACAGAGGATTTAATAAAATAGTGTGTAGTAAAGTCATGTTAACATTATGAAATAATTATCATTTAGTAAGCCAATTGGTATGATAAAGTTACTTAACTGAAACACTATTGTTCTAGAGTTATGAAAATTCAATCAAAAAGCATTTCCTTAAATGTTCATTTAAGATTTGTTGTATAAATAATTTCAGCTTGAAAAAGGACATTTTTGGGTGACTCAAAATTCTGTAGCTTTAAGTTAAAACCCCAAATGTAATTTACATGTTTTCCCCCTACTTTCCAGATCAAGACCTATAGTAATGGTAAAAGCTGAGGTGTTATTCAGCCCAAACCAAATTCCTACTCAGAATGTAGACTGCTCAAAACCATTGGAGAACACAGCTGCAATCTGTTTTACCATGAGCAGAGTGTCTACAGTCAACGCAGGTTCATCATTCACCTCACTTTTTGTAAAACAAAAAAGCCAGTGTCCATTATTTTAATGTTAATGTCTAAACATTTGTAACATGGAAATGTATTTGTTCCAGCTCAAGCAAGGATTGATTACACTTTAACACTGGATGCTTCTCGCAAATCTCCAACCAACCGGGCTTACGTCAGTGGGAAACAACAAGAGCAGTCTGGATCTGTTACTCTTGACTTACGAAACCGACAATGTTCAACTGTAAAATTCATTATCGAGGTAAAAAATAAAACATCTGAAAAAGTACTAAAACTAAGAGAGATTCAAGTCATTAAACAAAAGATTGTTTTTTCAGAGTCCTCTAAACTTAACGTTGTTCTCTTCTTGCAGGCCTGTCCAGAGGATGCTCTTAATGTACTTTCCAATGAGCTCAAATTCATATTTGATGGGTTGCCATTAAACACAAACCTCAGGCCAAGTCTTGCCCCACAGAGTCAAACAGCAACTATTTTTCCTGTAAGTAACCCAAGAAAAAAAATACCAACCAAC